CAGCAGCAATCTCTCCTCTCATCCCTGGCTTAACTGGAGTATAGGACTGCTCTATAATGTACGTTAGAGAACCACACATTTCTTACATAAAAAGGACTTTCTGTAAAAAAGAAAGTTCGGCAGGGGTTCTCTCACGCCTGCTGGCCTCCATTTTTGAGACCTCGTGGAGAACAGGTGAAGTTCCAGAGGACTGGAGAGTGGCATCAGTGGTCCCAATTTTCAAAAAGGGTGGTAGAAAGGACATGGAGAATTACAGACCGGTTAGCCTTACGTCCATTGTAGGAAAAACAATGGAAAGGCTCATAATAGAGAGAGATCTAGTGATGCTAGATAGGGAAGGGAGGCTGAGAGCCACACAACACGGCTTTCGCAAAAACAGGTCCTGCCAGACAAACCTTGTGGAATTCTATGACAAGGTTTTGCGATGGCTAGATGGAGGGGATGCAGTGGATGTGGTATACCTGGATTTCAGCAAGGCCTTTGACAAAGTGCCCCATGATATCCTGGTGGAGAAACTGATGAGTTCTGGGATACACCAAAGCACTGTCCGGTGGATTAGGGCATAGTTGACTGATCGAAAGCAGAAGGTAACCATTAACGGGGAATCATCGGGATGGCGGCCAGTGACAAGCGGGGTCCCCCAGGGCTCTGTCCTGGGGCCAATCCTGTTTAATCTTTACATTAATGACATGGAAGAAGGGGTGAACAGTCTGCTGATCAAATTTGCAGACGACACTAAAACTGGAGCAGTGGCCACAACTGAGGAGCAGGTACTCCAGAGCCAAAAGAATCTGGACAGACTATGGAAGTGGGCAGGAGACAACAGGATAGCGTTCAATGTGGATAAGTGCAAGGTCTTGCACTTGGGACATAGGAATAGCTGTCATAAGTAGAGGTTAGGTGACAAGTGGCTGGAGAGCAGCACTTGTGAAAGGGACCTCGGGGTACTGGTTGACTGCAGGCTAAACATGAGTCAGCAGTGCGATGCAGTGGTCAACAGGGCGAACGCCACCCTTGGTTGCATAGCCAGAAGTGTGGCTTCTAGATCAAGAGAGGTATTACTACCACTCTACACGACTCTAGTGCGCCCGCAACTGGAGCATTGTGTTCAGTTTTGGGCCCCTCATTACAGAAAGGATATAGCCAGGTTGGAGTCAGTGCAGCGTAGGGCCACAAGGTTGGTGGCCGGTTTGCAGGGGATGCCGTATGAGGCGAGACCGAGGGAACTGGGTCTCTTCAGCCTGGAGAAGAGGCGACTCAGAGGGGATATGTTGGCAACATACAGGTATGTGAGGGGATGTCACATGGAGATGGGTAGAGACCTGTTCTCCCCTGCAGAGGAAGGCAGAAAGCGCTCCAATGGAGCAAAGGTCAGGGAGCCAAGGTTTCGTTTGGATGCCAGGAAGCACTTCCTGACATTCAGGACCCCGAGGGTGTGGAATGGGCTTCCATGAGAGGTCGCTGAGGCCCCATTGGTGTGGGTGTTCAAGGATAGGCTGGACGTCCACATGGTGGGCATGTCGTGAGTAGAGCCGGCTGGTGCCGGAGGTCAGACTAGATGGCCTGGGAGGCCCCTTCTGACTCGCTCTGTTTCTATGTTTCTATGAGTGGCTTGCAATGAGTAGTGCCATTTCTCACCCATTACATACTTCCACCAGGTGTCCTTCCATCTGCAAAGAGGGGGACTCCTTGTATACAGCAGCTCATTCACAGGAATCATGCAACTGGGCTTCAGGTTGTGTGCACAAGCCCTCTCCTTGCAGACATTTGAACTATACACATGGAGGGAGGGATGTATCATGCACATGATGCTAAAGGTTGGCACTATGTAGCATTTCAAGTGCTATTTTAAAAACAATGCAATGCAACACAATCAGAATTATAATGATATAGAAAAGTACTGGAAAAGTAACATAACACAGCATGGGTAATCTAATTACAAACTAGGAAATTCCTGAATGCACAGGTGTGTTTTAAAGATACAAGATTTTCAGCATGCTAAATAGCATTTTGTCCACAGGCTGGGTGCAACCATGAAGAAGGCCCACTGTATTGATATTTTAAGGGAACGATTGTATTGCCTCTCGAGCCATATATTGTTCCCAATATTGCTTGGGAGCTCCAAGTCTGGAAAACAGGATGAAGACTGGGATGGTGAGTATCCAAGGTATCCTCAAGAAGGTTCAGCCTCCTTTCCTCAAGGTCCGAAATACCCTTGCTAGATGGCTGAGAACAGCTATCCAGTAAAAACGCAGGACTGAAGAAGCAAGGAGCTCGAGCTCATCTCAGTAGGTGTGTGCCCTAAATGAATAAATAAATCCTATTCCCACTTAGGTAGAAATAAGTCCCATTTGCACCAATGGAATGTACTCCTACAGTTATTGTAACAGTTATATCTTGTGCATGTCACCTTAGAAGTAAACCCTAGAGCAGCAGTTCCCAAACTGTGTTCTCTGGAACCCTAGGGTTCCGCAAAAGCCTTGGAGGGGTGCCATGAAAAATCTCAAAAATCAAATTTAAAATGGATTTTAAAATGAAACCACATGAGGCCAACTATCTGATTGTCAGTTGGCATCCAAGCCAACAAGGAAATGTTTGTTCGGTTCCTAGGATTCTGTTGCATAGTGTTGGGAATAATCAAGAGAATTCATTTGGGATATTACCATATAATTGCTTTATTTGTTATATTTAAAATGTTTTATCTTTATTTCCAAACCTGGCACGTTATGCAAAGCACTCAGGCAATGGGGGCAGATGAAAGAAGAAGGACATTGTGGGTTCACAAGGCTTAGTAAAAATCGGGGTTAGAGTTTGGGTTCCCCAGGGAAAAACAAATATTTTCAGAAAGGTTCCATGACTGGAAAAGTTTGGGAAGCGCTGCAGCAGAGCATTTGGTGAGGCTCATTTTCAAATAAGTGTGCACAAGACTGTTGCCAGGAGGTGCTCGGGACTTCTGTTATTCTTTTCAATGTATCCCTGGTAGGATATCAATGGCAAAGAAAGCCACTGATATCTTACCAGGGATACTGTTATATACCAACAGTATGTAAACACATTTCACTCTTAACCACTTTGGACACTTGTGAAAACCAGATGACTTATGAATTAAATCATCTGATAAACATACTATACTGCCAATGTTTTCTGGTTCTGTGCGAATACCTTTGATTCATATGTGGTTCCTATGGGAGCCCTAACAAAGCAGGCACATCTTCTGATGCAATGATTATCAGAACTGAGTTGGTTTTACTCTAGAAATATTATGACACTGTAACTTGCTATTCCTGGAGCAGCTGCCTAAACACCTGCTTATACTACAATATTTTAGTACTTAGCAGAGGGGAGGGAGACAAAGACAATTAGAATGGGCATGATCTAATAAAAATTAAGTCTTAAAGATTGCAAAGAAAGGTAAGAACTTAAATTTGTTCCACCAAAACCAGTGGGATTTAAAAAGTGTATAAACCTGTCTAAATTATTGCCTCTTTTCAAATTCAAGAGTACAGTGAGGCATTGCTCACTTTTAAGATTACATGAAACAATAGGAGTCTAAGGATTACTTCACCCATGGATGTGTATCATTTGGTTTCCTGTCATATAATTAAGCAACAGATGATCAGTGATGACTGAATGTGTGAGCTGACTGGCTCTTTTATAGAGAAAAGCAGCCCCCTTGACCCATTGAAATCAATGCAGTTAGTTGCAATTTGAAGTTAGTTGCCATTCGATGGCAACAGGTCCTCCATGTGACTAACTTTATCTGAATTAAGGCCATTGTGCTTTAAAATGATATGGAAGTGTTGTGCAGTGTTCGATCTGTAATATAACTTTACATTGCCAACTCTTGAGACTGCAGTTACTATGTAATGAACATGATGGACAAACTGTTTATTCTTAAAAGTTGTATATAAACAGAAATGAACAGTAATGAAATATTGTATCTGGCTGGGCTTGTTGAAATGGATGAGGCTGTGCAACCATAATCAAGATCAATGGCTCAAAAAGGAAAACACAGGGCTAAAATCAGATTTAGGATTCTTTCTAGCCAGTTCCTTGCAACAACCTTGGCGCCTAGAACAATGCATTAGTTACAAACAAGTTCTAACCTTCTTTTCTGTCCTATTTTAGTGAATCTTCAGAGCCATAAACCATCATTACAAAGCTCATGATATTGGACATGAGGCACAATCATAGATGGAGTTCAGCCCTCATGCAAAACAAATGACTGGAGCTCAACTATTTCATTTCCAGCCTCATATTGGTGATTCTTAACATTTCCTCCTGTCTTCAGTCTAAATACTTGATAAGTTTTCAAACCCTTCTCTTACTAGTGTGTGTGTGTATAGAATTATTTCCACATGGGAAGCAGACAAATTAAAGTTTTAGAAGTAGAACTTTACCTAAAAAATGAAAAATCTGCTGACAGCTATATGTTTTCACTTGGAACTGAGACATCTCTGAAGTGGACTTTTATTTTCATCCTTTTCTGTTATATTTCCTGATAAACTTAATGCATGTGAGACAACAGAAATAACACTCTGCTGTGAAATTTGTACTGGAATTTGTTGTTTTTCTTCATTAAGTCCCACACTGCCAGTGATTCTGCAGTGTGAACAAGTCTGTCTGAATCTGCCCCTGATGTACATTCCCTTGCCACTTGAATTATTTTGTTCTCCTTTTTTCCTGGACATTCACTCTCCTTTTTGCCATTCACAACATCATCTCCTAGTTGTGGTATATTATTATGTACAGATATCAAAAGAGTGAATACCAACAGTCCAGCATGAATTTGTAATGAATGGGGAGCAAATACTGAACATCATGTATGGAACTTACAATACTATTAATTATCAAATATAATTTATCAAGCGTTGAAGAGTATCAGATTAAAAATTCTATGAGAATTGTTGAATATGAAATCACAGACGGTGCAGAATATGTGATGATCTGGGGATGGATGCAGACTGAAGAAGAATGCTTGTTTCAGCTCTATATGTTACCTGCTCTGGTTTGATGGGTTCAGTTGTTGTGAAGATGTCAGAATAATGTTGTCTTTCAAAGACTCGATCCAACACTTCTAACTGCTGCTGGGTGAAAAGATCTCCCCGCATTTGTTTCCGAAGGAAGTCTCTGCCTGGGAGAGAATGGCCATTTGGTACTGGAGACTCCTGAATACCTTTCCAAGAGTGAAAAAACAGAGACAAATACCTATTACAATGGCAATCAAAATTTCATTTTCACTTGATTTTAGAGAATTTATTGCATTACAGATTGCATAACAATACCATAACTTAGTAGTGAATCTTCTTTAAATTCACTGTGCCATTTTGATTACATACATGTAAATTGCATTTCTATGTGTTTATATTAAAAAGGTCAATTAATTCTTGAAAAGTTTTGGGGAAATGCCTTCACAGATCATACAGCACATAAGTAACTGATGGCAGAAGATACTTAATTGAATGTAATGTGGGTTAAATGTAACTGACCCACCCCAAATAATCAAAATGTGGAAATAGTGCTTTTTGATCAAGCTATACAATAGTGCCATCTCATTAATATATCATCAGTACTTAAAAAAAAAAACAAAAAGAGGCCTCTTTCAATTCAGTATGAAGCTTTCACTGGCAGCTTGCTTCAGTTTCCCCTAGAATGCTAATAGTTGATAGGGGAAGCAGTGAGTATTTTCTCCATGTACTGGTCCTCATTTCTTAAGAAATGGTTGGTTATCTAAACCAGCCTTCCCCAATCTGATGTCCTCCTTATATACTGGTCTTCAACTTTCCCCAACCCCAGCTATTAGGTCGCCAGGTTAGAGAAGGATGATCACAAGCTAGTAAATCTCCAATCCCAAATAAATTTTATTTAGCTCCTGATCTGGAAAATACAGTAGTCCCTAAGAAGACCGTAGCTGACGACACCTGATTTAAGCTATAAATTAATTAATAATTAAGATTTAATTTAATTAATATTATTATTAAATAATTAAACATATTTCTAGATTCTGAAGTGAAAAAGAAGTCTTCTAGTTTTAAAGTCAGGATAGCGTTCATTTAGCAAGATGGATTTTTTTTAATGAGAACAGTAAGGTTTTTTTAAAAATGTCAGTTGGATTTTTTAATTTAAATCAAATTGTTTTTATTTAAAAATACCAAATTAATGTTATTAAAAATTAATGGTTATTCTTAAACATGCCAAACCTACTTAAATCTCAAAAATAGCATAAATGCCTCTGCCACACTTACACACATTGAATTAACTACCAAATATGGACATTCATTTCTTGTGAATATGGCAGTTCTGTCTTCTTATGTCTAGAAAGTCCTGCACATTCAGTTTCTGTTTCTCTGTCTAGGGGATTTTCCACATGGAACCCTTCGTGATAAGGCAGCAACTGTCCTTGGTTTTATTGCCCACAATTTTGGCAGCCCACAAGCCTCTTTTTCTTAAAGGCCTCAGTGACCTTGGTATGAACCACCCTTTTCCCCACTCATTGCTCTGTACCACTCCCACAGTACCTTTTCTCCATTCAGGGTATGTGTGTTGGTGAGTGTAACTTGCCAGCACATGCCACTTTTCTAAAAAAAGAAAAAAATTAAAAAATTGCTGGAAGTGTGGTATTTTGGAATTTCCTGATTTTGAATCAGGGAGCACAAGGGTCTCTGGTACCCTCTAACTTCCTGCCTGCACAGCTCCACAACATGACTTGCTGCAAAACGGGACCCACTGGAGGGCAGTGGAAGGCAGACAGGGCAGATTTTCCTCTCCATGTTTAGACAGAGCTCCCCATTTTGTACAATGAAAGCCTCTGTGTCGTCCTCCTCTACCCCATCACACAGTTGTTTCTCACATGTCTTTAGTTCCTCCTTGAACAGGTGTGTTCTTCTGGAATCTCGCTAATATACATCTTTATTTTTAAAAGCAACAATTGCAAATTGAAGCAAGCAATTTCACTGATAAGTTCCAGAAGCAAAGAAAGGTGGGTAATAATGCCATTTTTTAAGAGGTCAAAGGAGACAGCACTAAAGGAGACTGCTTCCTTTTTAAAGCACTGGGAAGAAAGACAGACAGATAGACAGACACCACATGCAGCTGTTATCTGAAAAGAAAGCCCCACTTGGCTTCCCTTCTACCACCACCATTGCAAAGCTGCTTTGCACAATTTCAAAATTCTGAGTCTTTGCAAATCCGTTCTTCTGGAATACTACCAAATTTTTTTAAAAATAATTTTTATGTTTATTTAAACTACAAAGTTCAGCATGCTAATATCTCTTTGAAGAGCTCGCATTAGCTACAACAGGAAATATGCAACAACCAATCAGGAAAAAGGGGGACATGTCCAATACTCATTGACCTTGCCCACAGTTCTTCCCATCATGCTTCATCCTGCATTTTAGCATCCATGCCACCACAGGAAAAAAAATACAGCTATTCTGCTTTTTCCAGTCCAAATGGAATTTCTTGCATTAATCAGAAAGTTGGAAGAAATGCTGGGATAATACAGGTGGCTCACAAAAGGAGAGCAACATTTTCTAGATCACTTGTGAAATGTGAGTGAATGAAACATGGTGATTCTTCTATAAATCCTCATCTGGAAAAGCCCCAATGTCACACGTGCAAAGACAAAGGCTTGGTAGGATCATTGTCATTCTGGGCGCATGGGGTTGTGAAGCTGGGCCTGGCAATGCAGAGGAGTCAAGACAGAGAAACAGTGTAGAAGGATAGATAAAAATCTCTCTTTCAAAAAAGAAAATTACATTGTAAAATATTTAAACTTGATTTTTCATTTTCTAAAAAATGTAAATACTAATTTCCCCTTAAACAATAGCTTAAATGAACTGTAAAGAAGCAAGTTAACTTTACGGTTAATCTCCAAACTTAATCAGTGCCTCTACCAGATAGAATGGGTTGAAGAAGGCTTTTTTATGGAAATGAAGAACCAATCTGATCATTTCTCCAATATTAATATTTACACTCTAGCTACAACACAGGTATCTCATTTTCACCTCATGAAAATAAACTAATCTGTCCAGGAACTATCTAACCTTATTTGACCTATCAGTCATGGACATGCTGTTTTTGTTTCCCAATATGTTTTTGTGAGGGTAAAACTGAGCCAGGACGAGTGAAGTAGAAAGCAGAAACACTGGAAAGAAACAGAAAATGCAAAATTCTGCAGCCTGCATCTTCCAGTATTTCCATACTAAGGCTGCAATGCTGTAATTGCTTTCCTGGAATTAAGCCCCACTGAATTCAGTGAAATTCTAAGGATTCTATTTCTAAGTTGACATGTATAGTATTGTGCTATTAACCTCATACTGCCAGCTACTGGTTATAAGAAAGAACCTATATAGGAATATTTAAACTTCATTCCTTCCATAGGTAAAAACAGAAAGCATGCAAAAATATATATAACCAGACAAAGCAATGCAAGGATGAAGCAGTGTAAATACAACTTTATTCATGTGTAAATTAAAGAAGTTTAGTGGTCAGATTTGCACCATTTTTCAGGAAAATGTTATAAAGTGGAACCAGTGATTTAAATCAACCACTTTTCTGGCTAATTAAAATCTCCATTTAAATCATTAATACTTAAATCAATTTACCTTGACATTTAGGCATGATGATAATAAACAACAATCACTGTTTTGTTTTTATTCTTGTTAGTTACCACAATATTGTTTAATAGTAAAATGTATTTTGTTCCTTTATTGCAGTGAAGAAAACAAGTTCCTATAGAAGAATTATATTTTTATATATAAAGGGTAGAAAACTACACACATATATAATAAAGCAGGTGATCGCTTTCCCCCACTTTCCCAAATTAGATCATTTCTAGCAGAACAAGTGCTGGGTTTAATCAACCATATCTTATAAAATTAAAACTCTGGTAGGTAACTGCATGTTGCCAAAAGGGCAAGAACCTCTTTCTGCGGAGCATGGAAATGCTTGTTTTAAAATTTCAGGTTAAACCAATATTATTTTGCAATTCTACTTTAAAGTTATATATTTACATAATTCTGGTAAAACGGAAACAAAAAGACTGCTCTGCTTCTTTACTTTGCTGAAATAAATTGTGCCTTCAGTCATTTTCATGGGGCACACCCATCTGTTATTTACACTCATACAGAATACTATTATTAATACATGTTTAAGTTGCTGAGCAAAATAAACTTTAAAACAATTCTGAAACACCTTCAGGTCCAGAATATAAAGGGTCATGATTAACTTCAGGAACAGAACTGCATCAAGTTTGGCCCACAACTTGCTTCAGTGAAAGACATCCTGGGAACTATGCGTAAGTTGCTCTGAGTTCTTTAGCGGACAAGTGGGAGACAAACTGCTTTCTACTCTTGCCCAAATCATATGATCACCGCTTGGGATTAAAACAAGTGACCTATTTTAATCCTGGTGCATGCCAGTGCATTTCCCAAATTACTTGCTTGGGCACAGCCTGCTGCTTAGTCTAGCCCCTGGTGATATTGCATAGTGGAGAGGGCAACACCTTTCAAATAACCCCAAACAAGCCATTGGGGTTGTTGGAGACTTGTTTTGCCCTCCAACAAGCATACCTCCTGGGTTCAGATGACAGAGAAATAGAACCACAAAACAGCATCACAACTTAAACAAGACACTATGGCTTGCTTATGCTACGCTGATGGTATGAACTAAGACACAGTCTCACACACAAATACTTTTTTAAAAAATTCAACCCAGTGTACCAGTCATGTTAATTTATTTTCTTATAATTTTTAGGCATTACTGTGATGTATTTTAAATACTTATTATATTTCATGATTTACAACATCTGGTTTATAAGAAATTCATTTTTATGTATTTCATCTGTAAAGGAGAATGAATATTTGAATGAGATAAGGAGGCTATATAGCTGAAAGGCAATGAAGAATGTACACACTCACACCTGAAATAAAGTCAGCTTTGAATCTGAAACTGCACTGTGAACACAGTAAGAACTCATTTTTCATTGTGCATCCTCAAAATTAAATTGCTGTTATGTGAAACTTAAGCCTCTTTTTCACTTTTAATGCTAAAAACTGAAGTATCAAAACTTCAAAGACAGAGTTTTGTAGTCCCAACTAGTTTCATAACTAAAAATCTGTGCTTTCTATGATTTGTAGCAGTTTGTGGTAATTCAGAATTAAATTTCACCACCAT